CAATTCCAAGGATTCCCCCATTCCAAGGGTCCCCTCAGTGCCAAACCCCACAATTCCAAGGATTCCCCCATTCCAAGAGTCCCCTCATTCCCAAACCCCGCAATTCCAAGGATTCCCCCATTCCAAGGGTCCCCTCTGTGCCAAACCCCACAATTCCAAGGATTCCCCCATTCCAAGGGTCCCCTCGTTCCCAAACCCCACAATTCCAAGGATTCCCGCATTCCAATTGTCCCTCCATTGCCAACCCCCACAATTCCAAGGCTCCCCTCAGTGCCAAAAGCCCCTTGAACTGGGGACAGTTTTTATATCAAAGTAACAAAGTGCTTATGAGGCCTATTAATTAAAAACTTTCTTTTTATAGAAAATAAAAATTATCAAAAAWATAAAAGCTATCAATAAAAAGTTATCAATATAAGAATGTAATAACTCTTTACATATTATTAAAATACCACGTAATTGCTTTCAATATATTATCAATGATTTTTTTTTTTTTATATATTGCTGTAAATTTTTTAATAGTTTATTAGCAACATATAGTGTACCAGCTGCACGTAATTTAACCAGCTGTATTAGTACATAGGAATGTGAAATCACCAAGAAACATAAATTAAAAAAATTCTAAAAAAAGTAGACAGATGCTATAACAAGGAACAGCAGAGAGCACTAGTGAGAATTTAGCAGAAACACGGGATAATCAGCAAAATAATTGAAAATAAGACTTGGAGGACTAGAAAAAAAAACCATGAACGTCACAACTGCGCATGAAAACAAAGGTTAAAAGTCCACCGTGATGAAGAAGATGGGATTTAATTAGAGGGAGATCCCCACGACCAATAAATTGAGGATGATGCAGGTGCAATTTAAAACTGTGATTATCGTGTATTTCCGTGCCCATGGATAGTGGTGGGTGTATGGTGGGCAGTAACAATGGTAACTTTACACCGTGTTTACTGTATAAATATGAGCTAATTTGGGTTAGGAGGAGAAACCCCCCTCACCTCCAGCGCTGCAATAAATAAATTCCTGCTCTGTAGACACCGCTCTATGGAGTTTTAGTTCTCGGCCTTTTTCGGGCATCAGATCACTGATACCCCGCCATGAACACGAACCCCCAAACCATGCGAAGGCCCCTTCAGTGCAAAGGCCCCTCCAGTTGCCAA